GAGATGATGTACCGTTTAGAAATACTATATGGCAACAGCTCCAACGGCTCCACAATTATTAAAGTTGTGTAGGTTACACAACTTACATAATAGGATAACTCACTGCTTTGTTTTATTGTGACTCTCTTCAATTATAGTTTGATATTGCTGAAAGCAAGCACCATTTGAGCGAGTAGATGGTGCATATCAGACATGTACACTTGTTCTGTTGTGATATGCATTCAGCATCCTACTTTCTGCAGTTCCAGTGTTGCCTTGTGATTTCTTGGGGTTGTTTTTTTCCCCTCCCCTCCACCCCACTCCCTGGCAGGTGTTCAGCTCCCGACAAGCACTGAACGGCCATGCTCGCATTCACGGAGGTACAAACCAGGTGACGAAAACGCGCTGCACCATTCCCGGCACCAAGCAGAAATCCGGTACGCAGAGCGGATACTGCTCCATCAAGAGCTCACCTGCCCACAGCACAACGAGCGGCGAGACCGACCCAACGACAATTTTTCCTTGCAAGGAGTGTGGCAAGTAAGTGTGGCTGTCTGCAGTACAGCATTGCCTTTGCCTGTTTAGATTCCAGATCAGCAGTGCTGTGAACAAACTTCGTGTTTTGCTCTGATTGTCTTGGAAGAAGTTTTCCCCCTAGATGATACGTTCTCTTACCAAAACTGTCAGAGATAGGTTTGCATGACATTTTGGGTGCCCCTGCAGTATTTACTCCTATTTTCCACTTACCTGCTAGAATTTTTACATCTGACATTCCAGCTTCTTGCTTCATCACTGACTTGGCTGAGACGGGGGCAACTTTTTCTGTGCTTTTTGTGCTTCTGTGCTTGAGTTTGTCCATTGTGGTAATCCTTCACTTTCTTCCTGTTGTGCAAGATGGTTGTGAAAGTGAGAGAGGGAAAATTATGATGTGCATAGATACTGAAGCAGGTGTGGGAGCTACAAACTACCTTTGGCAAAATCAGAGTAGGCCATTTTGATACCATCAGGATGTATAAATCTGGTAATATGTCCCTGAAATTCACACCATGGCATTGCAGACTTCACTGACTTCTATTTCAGGACAAGGAAGCAAATGTACTGATAAGTTGTTGAGTCTTTTTTGGCTCATTTCATCAAAAGTAGTGCATTTTAATCTGATTTTTTTTCCCTTTAAAATTTAGGGTCTTTTTCAAAATCAAAAGCCGCAATGCTCATATGAAGACTCACAGACAACAAGAAGAACAGCAAAGGCAGAAGGCTCAGAAAGCTGCTGTAGCAGCAGAAATGGCAGCCACTATTGCAAGAACTACTGGGCCAGCTGGGCATAGTTTGATCCCCCTGGATCACATGAGCTTGGTTAAACATGTTGAAAATGTTGGTGACATTGATGATGATGTTGTTCCGGATCTGGGTGATGTCATGGAAGAGAATGAAGTCATGGATGCTGACCTCTTACTGGATGATGAAGATCCAGATCTACTGCAGGATGATGCTGAGTTGTAAATAAAATTGTTTGATAGACAGCTACTGAGCACACCCTGAATGGATCAATCAGGAAACCTGGACTGCTTGTTTATTCCCACTGATTGTAAACTACCTGTTGAAAATTATAATTCTTTTATCCAGGTCTAGAAAAGAAATCTGCTTTTTTCCCTTTTTTTTTATTAATTTGTGTTTTGGGGGAAAAAATAAATAATTGGTACAAATATTCTTATAAGGTGTTTTTATCTGAGCTCTTTTTGCTGACAACTTCCAAGGCCACTAATTACACAAGTTCATGGTTCTGCTATCAGTTCCTACCAGATGGTCCTGGTAGAATCTTTAGTCTTTAACTCTTCCAAGTTTCATTTTACCCCAATTACAAGAATAAATTTCACACACTTCTGATGAAACATTTTTTTTTGTCTATATTGGATCATTTCCAGCATCTTCTAGAGAGTAAATGTCATCTTTCTCTTAAAGATACCATTACATTATTTGTCTTTGTGCTGCCATTTTAAGCAAGATGGAAGAAGAGAAGAACTGGTTTAACTGTGAAAGAGTTAGTGATGTCACAGTTCATTTTCAGTTCTGTCTTGGTTACACAGGACATTTTAGACATTCCATTTTAGCAAGGTTTTGATCTGCTGATTTGAAAATGACCTAATTTCCAAGATTGAAGAAGGAAAATGATTGTTCTATGGTTCACATCCTCTGATGGGAACACTGAATCAGGAACACTTCCTTGGTAATCAGATTGCACTGGAAATATTGTCCCGTGACAATAAATCACACTGTGGAATAGCCATTTCTGTGGTTTTAGGGGAGTGTGTGCTCAAGCAATGCTTGCTCTCTCACCAGGCAAACACAGGGAAGCATTCTTGCCATTGGAAAAGAGATTGATGTGCTTTCAGCACCTAGGTATATGTGTTATTCTTGTGCCATTTTCAGTCCTCTTCATTACATCAAATTCAGCTGTTGTTTATTTACTATAAACATGCTGCAGAGGTGAGTTGATGTTGCTGTTTAATGACCGTTTCTTCTCCCTTAGGTTCAGGTCTACGTGCTGGACACCTGACACCTGAGTTTATATAAATTTAGATTTGGTTCTCTGATTAAACAGGATATGAAAGAATTGTACGTTGCAGAATAAAACAAGGAAGAAATGGAGTTAGGTTGAGTAGACCTTTAATTACAGAATACAAATGCTGATTGCAGAGCTCTCACAGGCAACAGCACTGATTTTCTTGTGAATTTTGCACAGCAGAGGAATATTGTTAACTTTTTAAAATACTATAAGACTTATTTCAGATCTTCCAGGCTTCAGGTTTGTTTGGTTTTTGTTTTGTTGTTTTTTTTTTTTTGTTGTTTTTTTTTAATAAGTTGGGTTTTATTTTAATGGGTTCTTTTTGCCATATTCCTAATATCTTCACCAGAATCTGAGGGATGGTGGGTCTTATTTTCTACTTGTTATCCTTGTTTAACTATGCAAAAGGAGGGTAAATCACAGCACTTTTATAGGATTTACTGGACCACACAAGTTCAGAACCAGTGGGACCCACTGACAGAGAGAGGTGCCTTCTCTGTCAAAGCCAAATATGTGAAGCCAAATGACCTCAAGTTTCTACTTTAAGGTCGAATGTTCTGATACTAAAGAACAACCCTTCAGGAGAATGGAAATAACTTCTCAGTTTCCGGTTAGTGAAGTTCCTGGGTACGTGGTTGTTTTCATGTTCTGCAGGGTTTTCCAGAGGTTTTTGCAGTAGGGTTTGACCAGTGGGTGGAATTTCTCCTGTCACATAAGAGGTGATGTTCTCAGTCATTGTACCCTTGAGCTTCAGGAGATCAGGCAGCAGCAGCCTTTTCTTTGCCAACGTGCCACTCAGCACATTCCCCAGCAGTTCCTGTCCATGCTGTGCCATTTCACAGGGGCCATATGCAACCCAGGTTCAGCAGCCTGGGTGCTCAGCTCTGTACCACCAGCAAGACCCACTGACAAAAAATCTCATACATACTGCAAGTCTTTGTGGTTTGCAAAGTGGTGGAGGCTTTTGTGAGCATTAAAACGTGTTGGCTTTCAGGAGTCTGTGTTAGAAACAGCCCAGCAGAGTCTACTCTTCCTCTCCCAAGCTTGAACCTTTTTGAACCTTTAAGGATCTTTGTGAGAAAGGCTCTACACTGGAAAATGGACAGGTGTTCAGGTTCCTGGTGATTAGAAACTGTTTAAGCAAAATGATGATTGAAATCGGAGTTCTGCTTGAAGAACTGAGTGAAATACAGTAGAAATTTAGGGGCTTGATTCTGAAGAGTAGCTCTGTATTAAAGAATCTACAGTGACACTTTTTTAGTAACAGTTGCACAGGACCTGTGCTAAACTTAGTACCTATAAATATATATACACACATACATATGCCTGGTTAAGTAACATTAATTGGGTGCTGGTTTATTGTACAGCCAAGAATAGAACAATGATAACCAAAGAAGTTATTCATAAAGGAAAAAAAAGAAATGCACATTTCCTAAGCAGTACATGATTTAGGCCTCAAACATTGACTTCGTCGTTAAGTGTTGCATTGGCTGATGTTAAATGTGCTGTTCTGCCTATTTGTACATGAGTTGAACATAGTTTTGTTTCAGAAAACTTTTTTCTTGATGATGGTTGATGATGGAAAACTATTCAATATTGGAGCTAGTCCTCTTTGATAAAACGTGTACATACAGAAAACATATTTTATGAGAAAAATCTTATTTTCAATATTTAACTGTTATTTTATTAGAAGATGGTTCTGTAAATATTTTAGGCGTTTTAGTGTAAAAAGCAGACTGTAATTTTAGGTGGCAAAGGAAGTAACAAAATAAAAAATATATATACATTTGATAGAGCTTGTGATCTATGCTGGTTTTAGGTTCCCGTTTAGCATTTGACTTGCACACAGCTTAATTTCAGGTTAATCTCACTCTACACTGCCTACCTGGTTGCGTGTATTTAAGGATCGTTTAGAGGCATAAATCAGCACTTATTTATTTCCCTACCCCCCCCCCCTTTAAAGATTTGATACCGATCAGAAGCTGTGTTATTAATCGCTATTTGTATGTGTGAAAAGAAAGGGGTTAATGTGCCATTGCCAGTCATTTTTATACATCGGTAGAATACAGTCGAGCGGGGAGAAAGTTGAAAACGACGATTCGTGTAATTGGTTTTGTTTTGGTTTGGTTTTTTTTGAGAGGATTCCTAGAGAACAGGACGGGGAGGCCTGAGGGGACCGGCGGCCGCCGTCGGCGGGAAGCGGCTGAGGGGGAGCCGCTGCTCCGTCGGTGCTGCCCTGAGGCAGCGTTCGGGAGAGGCGGGACCGGGCTGGGGAGCCGAGCTGGGGCTCGTACGACTCCTGCGGCGCCGTGGGAGGTCCAAGATCGCCTCCGCACCGCCGAGCGCTTCCCCGCGGCCGGCGCCGCCCCGGCACGGAAGGAGGTGCGGGCTGAGCCGCCCCGGCGGGGAAGGAGGCGCGGGCCGCGGCCTCGCTTCTCCTTCCGGGCGGGCAGGGGCGGAGCCAAGATGGCGGCGGGCTGGCTATGGCGGCGGCTCTGTCAGGTGCGGTGTGCGGCGGGGGAGGGGACGCGGGAGTGCCCGCTGCCTCCTCTTCGTCCTCTTCCTCGGCGTCTTCATTCCTGAGGGGAGTGGGAAAAGGAGACGTGGCAAATGCTGTCCTTCGGGCACTGGGAGGGCTGGGGCTGCACAGCGTGGGACTGTGTCCCTGCACGCCATCATCGCCTGGAGGCTGCTCAGAACTCTTGGCTGCAGTTCTGTGGTTTTCCCGCAGTTAGTGCGGGTGGAAGGGATAGTGAAGAATAGGTGACTTGGATTTGGAGGCCGTGTGGTAGGCGAGTTTCTAGTCTAAAAAGTTTCAAAGCTTGGAAGTTACAACGTAAAATAATAGGAAAGCTTAGTGCACTGGTGATGTTTGCTAGTTTGGAGTTAAAAACAGTGATTGCTTTTTCTCAAATTGAGAAAATTGGATTTTTCTGATGCCCTAAACTCTCTTCTGTCTATGCAATGTGTTCTGGACTTGCCTTTCAGCGTCTGTCTCCCCCTGACACTTCAGAGGCTCTCAACCAAACAAAATTAAGGCTATTTTGCACTAGGAGAGGGGTAATTATGTTTTGTGCCAAGTCTTGGTTCTGGTATATTGCAGTCTTTGAGTGTCATTTCCACCTTCTATGATGGCCATTAGCAAGAGCACATCATTAAATCAGACGGTGAAGCTGTTTACAAATTCCTGCCCACTGATGTAATATCTAGCTCTTGAAGTATTCAGTGTATCATTTTGTCAAAATTTGCATAGAACACCTTTAATTTAATGTTACAAAATCTTTTGACTTGATGCAGATCTGCTTAATTAGTAACAAAGGGAAATGGCATGTGGTAGGAATAACATGCACAATCATAGAATATTGGAAAAGCTGCACACCTTAGTGTGTGGTATAGGACCCTGTTGCTTCATCAGGTTTTGTTCATTTTTATTGCATTAAGACTGAAATTTTTGTACCTAAAACCACATAGTACAATACACTATGAGTGCATTTATCTTTGCATGCAAATAATAAATCCTTATTACCAAGTCAAGTAGTTATAAGTAAAAGAATACATAGCATAGACTGCATATGCACGTGCATTAAACAGCCTAAAACAGATAAAAAACTCAGTTATGATTACAGTTAATAGCCTTACATTTGTCATCTGGGTCAGATTCTGTGTCATGTACTTGCACAAACAGCCTAAGCCCTGCACTGAATAGTCTTTTATGCTCATGGCCTGTCTGCTTCCTGAAGTGGTGTCAGGTGATTGTTACTGTACTTTATATTGGCATTGAATGGAAGGAAGGCAGCATTCTGACTTCAGGAAAAGAGAACTGAGGTGCAAATGTCAACATAATTTTGCCATAGAATCATAGGCCTGGATTGGAAGGGACCTTAATGACCATCTATCTCCATCCCCCTGCCATGTGCAGGGACACCTTCTGCTAGGTCGGGTCACTCAGAGCCCCATCCAGCCTGGCCTTGAACAGTCCCAGGGATGGGGCATCCTCAGCTTCTCTGGGCAGCCTGTGCCAGTGCCTCACCACCCTCACAGTCAATAATTGTTTTCTCATCTCTAATCCACCCCTGCCCTCTTTCAGTTGGAAACCATTCCCCCTTGTCCTGTCATTATGTGTTCTTGTCCCTCTATTTTATTAGATGTCATTAGACAATTACTAGCTGTATTTCACTACTTTTAGCTATTAAGGCTCAGGTAGTTCCCAGCATAAACTTTGAAACCTTCTGAATGATTATCAACTACAGTGACAAATATTCAGTGCTCCTAAAATTGCCTATCTTGTTACACACTTAAAAAATGTAACAGTAATGCCTCTGTGAAGATCTGGATTTGAAAGGATTGCTTAAGGGGAGTGCCATAGTCAGCTTTGTAAACAGAAATCTCCCCTCCTCTTCCTGCAGACATCTTCTTTATGGGAAGCAGCATTTGTGGATAAATTGTGAGTGAGGCAAAATTACTTCAGAAAAGTTTTGCTCACTTCTGACATACAATGAATGTATGATGCATACTGAAAAGGTTAGGGACCTAGTAGCATCATAGAGTCAGTTATGCATATCCACAGGCAACTACAGTAAGATTACCTGAAAAAGTGTAAAATCTGGCTGTTTTCTGATGATTTGATTTAAACAGTCACCTGTATAACTCTTGGGGGGGGTATCTGTCTTCTCTCTTAAAGCTGTGACTCCAGCACATGCCAAAAAAGAGCATCAAGGGGCAAGATAAGTTACTAATTTGGCTTCAGCAGTTTGCTGCAGCTCTGAGGTTCTGATTAGCGAGAGTTCCTTTTTTCCCCCCTCAAGCAGTCAGTCTATAACTTTGCCAAATTAAGAATTAGTGGAAGGAAGCTAGAAACCACATCATGTTCAGAAGGGAACAATTATTCTGGTATGAAAGATAGTAATGTTACATGATTAACAGCTATATTCCTTTTCTAACAGAAAATCATGCTATCTTTTATGGTTCATTGGTTTCTAAGAAGTATTTCTATTTAAATGTTCTCTTCAAAAGAACAAGTGCTCAAAATCACAAGGAACTTTTTTCTGAAAAAACAGTAAATTTCTCCTTACATTCACAGACTAAATTTTTGCATTTATAGGATACTGTTGTCAGATGCTTTAAGTCCTACTTAGGCTTGTCACTTGACAAAACTTACATATATTGTACCATGAAAGTAAAACTAAAGAGAAAATATTATCATATACTGAAATGGCATCTGATGCCACAAAAATGTATTTTTCTGTTAAAAATAAGCTTATGATTGCTAATCAGGTGCCTCAGTAGTAAATGCATACTGTTACTGTGCCCTTAATGTGCTTCTTTTTTAGGTGCTATTGTATACTGAAATACATTTCCATGCTCCTGTTTTCTTGTATTTTCCAATGGAGCAAACTTCCTAGTTTGTCAAATCAGTGCCTAGGAATGTGCTGTGCTTTGGTGTGCAAAAAAGTAATCTTTAATAAACCTGTATTAACTGGCTGCTTTCTGGTTTAGGGAAAATCACCATAACATAACTTATCTGTTTTATACAGGGATCAGCTTTTCCTGTCAGTTATGCAAGCAGAATTATGCAAAAGCAGTATTTTCTTCCGTAAGTGTAACAGCCCCTCCTCCTTCCACTGCTCATCCATAGTCCCTGAAAAAATCAAATCCAACTTTAACAACTTACTTTGTGTTTTCCCCATGGCTTTATTTCTAGGAGCTCCACCTTGATGGGAGCACGGCTGGCTGGATCCCATGGTGATACACAGGAGCCCAAGACTAATCCTTTGGTGAGTGTTCTGTAACACAGTATTTCATATATTTTCTTAGTAATAAAAAGGACATCTAGAAAAAACATGAATTCTTTTCTTGCAGCTTTTTGAAGGTCTGCCTTAGTGATGTCAAATTTGTCATAGAGAAAGAAATAATTTAGATTATTGGTATTTGAGATCTTCTGTTTTGGTGTGGGTTTTTTTTCCCCAACAAGATTTCTTTAGTTCACAGTTGCCTCTCAGTAACTTTCTCCCTTTTCTGTGCAGCTGTAACTCTATGAAACACCAACTTTTAGGCCAAATTCAGTTCAGTGCCTGCAGCAGCTTAGCAGCCTTTTGACAAGGGCTTCAGAAACATCTGACAGGCAGTATTAGATCTACAGTGCCGATCCAGCCTTCCTGCTGTGGCTGGTACAAGCTGCATTTAGTGTGCCTAGGAGTGAACCTCTGGGAAAATCAGCACTTCTGCACTCATTAAGGCTCTTCCAGTTGATCAGTGAGCCCAGACCATCAGAAATTGAAGCTCTAACTGAAAGTCATAAACTCACTCTTGTACAAACATGAAGGTTAATACACCTGGGGAAGACTACTGTGTTTAAAGTAGTCTTAGAGCTTAGTAAAGTGAGAATTCTGGTTGCTGTCCATAATGGTCTATTTAATTTCCATACCCAAGCAAACTCTTGGGTATTTGCACACTGCTCTATAAAATTCAAATGGTGCTCCAGACTTGCTTCAGCAATGAGTTTTGTTCTTGCCATTGCTAGTGTTGTCCTCCTTATATCTATCTGGCATTCCTTTTTTGGTAGAAGAAATTTTACCTAAATGTCCAGAAGTTAGCTATCTCTTCACGCTTTGCCTTCCCTGGTAGAGTGAGATCTCTCAGTCAAGGTAATGCAGGCAGATTCTGTTAGATAAACTAAAATAAGCAGCTCAATAGGTTGTGGGGTGTTTTTGCTCTTTTACAAATGGGGCATGCAGGCTAAGGAAATACACAGTGCATGCATTAATTAAGGAGAACGTGGTGTGGTAACTCTTGTCCTGTCTTCACAAATGCAGGTGTCTATTTCAGATGAGCCAGAAACACTGTACAAGAGATTGTCCATTTTAGTTAAAGGCCACGATAAAGCTGTGTTGGACAGCTATGAATATTTTGCAGTGCTTGCAGCTAAAGAACTTGGCATCTCTGTTGAAAAAGTGTAAGTAACTGATCTGTAGAGTGATATGGAGTGAGATGCTTCTTCTGTTATCTATTGTAATTCAGGTCCTCTGCGTAGAAGTATTTTTTTTTCTTTTTATAAGAAATGGCTGTAATCTGACTTTTTTTTTCTCAGATTATAGACCTAACACTTCTTTGATGGGAGGACAGTGATGAGGAAGCAGCAGCAGTTCTGCACTCAGCACTGCCATAGTGGAAGTGCTTTTTATCTCCATGAAGGATACTGACAGTACTTTCAGTACAGCTGTCAGTGCTGTAGCTTCCCTGATCCAGGGCTGGTTAATAATACCTGAGTGTTAACCATGCCCATGTGAGTTAATAACAAACTGTACCAGTGTTTGATACTTCCTTGTAGATCTTCCAAATGTCAAATAAGAACAGAGATTTCAGCATAATCTTTCAGATAAATTTGTATTATCATCCTTTATGTAACATGAAAATTTCTTTTTCTTCTTTGCTCAGAGATAAACCCCCGAAGACGATAGAGAGATTTACACTTCTCAAATCTGTACACATTTACAAGAAGCACAGAGTTCAGTATGAAATGAGAACACATTACATGTGTTTAGAGGTAAGAAAGAAGGAAACAAAATTGTTCTAGGGGCTCAATTCAAAGATATTACTATGTGCTAATGCACGAATGAAAATGTTTTGGGGAGGAGAACGCAGGAGAATATTGGAAAACAGCTGACCTAGTTACATAAAACGCAACACAAGTTATTCTGAATGCACAGCCTACATAATTTTTGGACCAAAAAGTTTTTTATTTTTACCATCATCTTAAGAGCTGAAAAAATGGCTAAAGAAAGTAAAGTAGAATTGATGTGTTATGCTCTTGGTTTCCAGAAATCACTGGGACGAGAGTTTTCTCAGGAAGGGAAGAAGATGCAGATAAATTATTGGCGTTGCCAGTCACCAAGGGTTCTGTTCTCTGTGGATTGGTCTGATGGTTTTGAGCAGACATACTTTTGTCCTGTGCAGCATCATGTGGCAAACTAAAACTGCATGTAGGAAGTAGAAGAAAGGAAGCATAGACAAACCACCAGCTCTGTGGCTGATGACACAGACATCTGTATGATTTAGAATGCAGCTGTGGTTGACTTTCTTAGAAGAAAGGTTTACTTCCAGCATTTTGTGGCTCCTGGGTGTCGTACTGTATATTTGCACAGTGCTTAGCAAAATGGGACTTCTAAGTCCCCTGACATGAGTGCAGTATGAGTGGCTGCCCGCAGACCTTAAGCCCTATTTCTGCCTTCCAGGAAAACCTAAAGGATCAGTAATTCAGTGGAACCAGGAGAAACTAAAAAATCAGTGTTTCAGTGGAACTCTGGAGTTGCAGGATTTATAACAGGCTTGAACTTTGGGAGTATAGAAAATCTGGTGATTTTTGTATAATCTGTGATTATTTTCATCTGATAGCTGCAGTGTTAAGATCCACCACTTCCATCATAATCAATGCATGTGCTCCCAGGCAGCATATGCAGCTCTGTGGAATGAAGTAACTACTTTACACTTGCATGAGAGTTGAGTACAGATGAACTGCTTCTGTTTAGAATATTATGGAAGTTGGCTTCCTGTAAGATGTTTGGTCTCCATAGCAAGGGCTAAATAAGCCAGGGCAATTTTTTTTTTAAATTCTGTTTGAAGCATTATTAATAGTAGTTCACTAAAAAAAAAATTCTTTCTGTTTTAGTTAAAATACCTAACAAGCAGTACTGCTGCAGTTTACTTGGAGTATGTGCAACGAAACTTACCTGAAGGGGTTGCCATGGAAGTGAAAAAGGTCAGTTTCCACCCCACATTATTAACTGTTACGAGTCCTGATGCAAGTACCAGTAACTACTGAAGCCTTTAGAAAGTCAGCAGAGAAAATGGGTATAGTTTGATAGGAAGATTTTGGAAAATAGTGGATGGTAAAGAGGCTGTATTGCTTCGAAGTGCCACTAGGTGGCACTGTAATCTGAGTCATGTCTCAAACCAGAATAAATAGATGTTAGCTGGCTGGTACAGTAAGTGGTTGTTTTTCTTTCCTTTTAGACTAAGATAGAGAAAATACCAGAACACATTCAGAAACCTGTTTGGGATACACTACCTCAAGTAAAAGAAACTGAAGTAAAGTCATGAACACACCAGGTACTTGGCTCCATTAGTACTGAAATTCATTGCTCCTATCAACCTCATTTACTGAGACAGTCCATTGTTAAATAAAGGTTCTCTTATAAAGAAATTGTATAAACTCTTGTTCCATCAAGTTATTTTTGCTCATAACTCCAGTACACTGAACTGCTATAAAGAGAAGTTTTACTGTGTTCTGTGATCAGTGACTGTGGTAATTTATAATAAATTTGTAGAAAGGTAAAGTTTATTTTTACTTATATATGTAAAAGTATGTGTATATATACATAAATATAAATTCATCACCTCCTTTTGATACTAGACGGCTTCTGCATGCTGAAATTCTTCCAAATCCACTTCACGTTTGTGTCATGTTTAATATTATGGATGCCAGACTGTTATCAATTTATCAATTTTGGATAAACTAGTTTGTTGGATAAACTATTTCCCATCTTCTCTTCATGTACCTATACCACATTTCTCCATTTTTGCTTCCTGCCACATTTCTTAGCAAGTGCCAACAGCACCACTCCCATCATTGCTTTAGGTTTTCTCTCAAGTAATCTTCCTTCCTCCTGACCAACTCCTGATTTTTCAGTCAGAAGATTTGTAGTTGCAATAAATACCCCATGCTTCATACTGTTTATAGACATCAGAGTTTGAGCATGCTCTGTTGTGTTCCTAGGAGTCAGACGTCCGAAGTTTAAATGATCCCTGTCTGTAGTCCCCACTTTTGCATCCAAACAGCAAAATTATCAGGATCAGCAATTTCATTCCCTTAAACAAAGGTAGTGTATGCCATGTGGGATGTTCCATGCATCACAGCAGAGCTGTGTGCTTCACAGGAATGTGCATCACATTCCTACCTTGTCAGAATTCCAGTTTGAATATGAAAGGAGTGATGTACAGAGAGGGAAGACATGAACTCCTTTCTTACCTTTCTCTTTGCTACAAGCCAGTGTTGTAGCTTACATATCTCTATTTTCATTATAATCACAGAAGTGCATACAATATAACTAAATAAGCATTCAGTTTTATAAGCTATATACGAGAGTCCATCGTGCAATTTACACTGCCTAAGAATCTTAGGGCAAAATTATTTGAAATTTTAGCTCTCCCTTCATGAATTTGGATAGAAAGTGTGTGATCACATTTGTTTCAATTAAAAACATACACTAAAAAATATCTCACAAGGGACAGGGCAAAACCAAGGTGGAAAAGCAGGTATGAAAAAGGCATGAAAGGGAGTTGGTGCAAGACAAAAGAGTGAAGGCAGTAAGCCACCAAGGAGGAATCTGTTCTGTTTATATTAGTAGAGTTCTCTAAAATAAAGGAAGTGGCTTTTATAAACCATCTGTCTCTGGAACATCATGCAGATAAAAGTGCTGGAGATACACAGGTAGCAGCAGCACATTTCTGCTGACAGGGTTTAGTTGTGGTTGCTGACAGAATGGGGTCAGCAGAACAGATTTCAAATAATGCAAGCTTTTCTCCTTCCTTTTCTTTCCAATATTATTGCTGGAATCAGAGATGCATAAGAAATCTGTAAAAAGAACATTGCTGGTGATATGTTACATGTTAGCAACTAGGAACTCCAGGGTGATTTTACAAGTTTATTTTAAAAATTTCATTTAAAATTTTCAAGTGGAGAGATCTAATTTAAGAAAGAGATTATCATATAACAGTGGTTACATGTTCACTGGTCTATGGGATATCAGCATCAGTGCTGCTTTACTGCCCATGCCTCACGAGAGAGCTGAGGTGCTCATTTCCTGGGAAAAGCATCTTCTAAGACACACATCAATGGCACCACAACATTTTAAGTAGTTTAATCCTAAACACCAAATGCTGCCCAAGTAGGATCCTTCTCACACAAGGAATGGAGAGGAGGGGGGAAGGAGTTGAGCAGAACGAGGGAAACAATTCCAGGAATATCATTGGTTTCAATGGTTAAATTGAAGTCAGGATGGAGAGAGGAAAAGGAGGTGAGGATCCACTTCAAGCTACAGGATCAAATCTTCTAAGCTGCCAGAAAAATTTCCCCATTCTGGTGAAAAAAGTGTAAATAACTGGCCACAGAAGCAAGTGCTGGCATTCAGGACAAAATAATGGGATCCATGCATTTTTAATTCATAAGGCAATATTTAAAAGCAGACTGAAACTCCACAAAGTAGTGTGAAATACCATAGCCAGAACTTTGGAAAGAGTACACAAACCACACTGGAGTCTGAGCTACAGGCTTACTGTCACCAAGGTCTTATAATTTTCCCTTTTTAATACACAAGAATGCAATCCCCAAAGAGTTCCTGAGCTCTCCTGATTCAGCTCTGAACAGACTCCTGCTCTTCTGCTGTCTCCCAATGCCAAACTGTAAGTCAACAAGAAACAATTTTGCAACATAAAAATATACTGCCTTTTTCACATTCCTGACAGAAGTGAGATTGATTGGCAATATTTTTCCTCTTACAGAGCATGACTGCCAACTTCACCAAAAACCCTGCTAGTTTGAAGTCGTTTATTTTAGTGTTGTTACATAACATGTTAGCTTTGACAGAACCTGCCAAGGGAATTTCTGCTGCTGGGCACAGCCAACTGCTGCTGCTGCTGTCTGTGTGCTGTGGGGTACTGGGTAAAGCAGGTCGGTGGAATGGTGTGGATTAAGACAACTTCCCCCAGGCCAGAGGGGTTTATTGAAGGGACTGACCATGGGATTAACAACATGCAGGAGTAACTCCCGGAGGCTTCTGTGTAACTGAAGTGCAGTTAAATGTGCTTGCTTGCTTCAGTCAAATCCATGGGTGCCCTCAGGTCAAGATAGTCAAGAAGCTACAGTCCAAATGCTAAATGTTCTTTTCCCCTAAAATATTCCATGCCTCCATCCTATTTGGAATTATGTTGCTCTCACTTAGTTCTTGTACTCCCAGAGACAAACTGAAACCTATTGTGTGTGTTTTGCAAATTACAATATTTATAGCCCTTTGTTACTAAAGATTAGAGGAGTTTCAGCTAGGTCATACAGAAACACGGGGATATAAAGAACTTCTAATGCAAAGAACTGAAAATGAATTTAGTGTATTTGACACAATTTATGGTTGTTTCTGAAAAATTGTCTTCATGTGCAGTAAAGCACGCTTAAACAACGCTCAGTAAGATTCAGCAGTGACATGTTAGAAGAGGTAGATTTCGGAGGAGTTTCATTTGGAGCTTTTGATTGCTTTTAGAATAAGGAAGCCTGAGTATTAAGGACTTGTGTTGGGTCTCTTCCTCTAGCATGATTGTAAAAGTTTTCCCAGAAGATGTGTAGCTGTTAGTACTGCAGATGACGGGTCAGTTGGAGAAAGTGCGCTAGCTCCAGTAGTGTCTGCCTGCGCTCCGTGAGCCCGAGCAGCGCCGGTTGCGGCTGTGCGCTGCCCGCCCCGCTGCCGTCACGCCGCTCGCCGGCCGCACCGCGGCTCCGGCAGCGGAAACGCGTCACGGCCCGCACCAAGCTCGGGGTCGCGGCGGGCCGCAGCGTCGGGACGGGCTTGAATTTGGGCACCGTCTGGGACAAGCGTTCCCTGCCGGTACTTTGCGTTCCCCAGAGCGGATCGCAGGAACAAATGCGCGCCCGCTCCCCGCACGGCACGCTGGCCGCCGCCGGCGGGGCGAGGCTCGGCCCCTGAGCTCACCCCCCTCTGCCTCTCCTTCCAGCCGCCCGCGGCCCCGCCTTCCCAGGGTGCGACGCCCTCCCCGGCATCACCGGGCGGCGCCGGGCTGCGGGCACCGCCCCGCCGTGCGACAGCGCAGCGCGCCGGGCACCCACGTGGAGCGCGCCGGGCCGGGCCGGCATGGGCAAGCGGCGAGCCAGGCGGGAGCTGCTGCGCAGCCTGAGCAAGAAGCAGAAGAAGCACCTGCGGGAGTTCGGCGAGGAGCACCCGTTCTATGACAAGTGAGTGCCGGGCTGGGCGGGGCAGGCCCTTGCCCGCGGTTCGGTGCCAGGGCTGCAGGGCCGAGGGGCCCCGCTCAGCCCGGGCCGGCCCGGGCGGCCGCCGCTCCCGCTCAGGCCGGCCCTGGGCTCCGAGGGAAGGAGGGGGCTGCAGCTGCATGGAGCACTGCCGCTCGCGAGCCGGGAATCTCGAAAGCAGAACGGAAAGCAGGAAACGTCGGCTCGGATTTTCTTGCAACAAATGCACACTCCTATGGTGCAGGCCGGAGGCTGCCGCCAGGAGTAGGGAAGCTGAGGAGTGCGAGGGGGCTCCCATTTTGATACCAGGCCGGTCTCTTGGCTTGTCAGGGTTCCAGCTTTCCCACTGTTCACTCCGTGCTCTTTTCTGATCTCGGAAAGGGTATGGAAATAGAGTAGCGAAGATGTGTGTGACAGAAGCCATTCCCTCCTCGGCGGGATGCCCGTCTGTCAAAATGACCGCCTTCCCTTTGTATCCACGTGTGAACTTCTGAGGCGAGAGCTGCTTAGTCCCGGTGCTCTGTGCTGCTGCAGTAAAGCCTGGAGGAGCAGGCACGCAGAGTTAAGGTCTGTGTGTCACCCTGTACAGTGATGCTCAGTCCCACACAGGACTGTATCTTTTTGAAGGAATCGAGGTTAGTTTAAGCCCAGCTTGCACAGTGGTTTCTTTGAAGAATTGCAGTCCCAACACTGGTTAATCCTGGTTTTCCTTTAGTTTGTGTCTGTTTCCCTCTTCACAGACCAATGTTTAGCGCTAGAAGTAGTCTCTGTCTCTGGTTAACTTTTTTACAAACTACCCTTGTAGCTAGGTGCTTTTAATTCCTTTTGAGACCTCATCTTCTGATTAAAGCTGGATTTTATTTCAAAATTTTTATTGATCAGTTGTAATGCCTGAGCACTTGGGCTTCATGTACAGAGAGTCATATCACCTAAGAGGGTGACCCTTAAGGTTTACCTTAAAGGCAAACGCCCAGTCTGTTTTCTTAGGGAGACATGTGTGGTAGTTGGGTTTTAAGCTTTCTTTTACTTTAAACTTGCGTAACTGATCAAATCACTCTTCCCCTCATTTTTTTCATCCTATGTGTAACATTATTGGCAGAGTAAGGTATGTTAGTGCTTTCTTTTCAGGGTTTCTGGAAGACCAGAAGAAACTCAAACATGTGAACTGGTAATGTATTTTTATTCCTTCTTTACTTTTATCTTTGTGTAGTTTCGTGAAGTCAAAAGCTTAGCATTTCATGTTTCCAGCTTTTTCAGGCTGATTAAGTTGTTCCACTTAGAAAACCAGTATTAAGGAAAAAAATATGAATGTGATTTTTGTGTGGATCTGAATTGTTCTCTGTAATGTCTGCTTCTAAACTGTAATGCCATCAGAGGGCAGAAGCAGCAGGAAATAACAGCAGTTCTTAACTTTTGTGTTTTAGTCACAGTGAAAATTAGATCACGCTCTAAATTAGTTTAATAATGTTGGTAAACTTAGTGTTGCATGAGTTAGGAGACTTTGTTCTCTGTTGAGCAAAGAAATATGTTAATACTCCTTCTTCAGATTGCCAGTGCTTTATTTTTCTTTCAGTCAGGATTTGGTAGCCTCCTTTATCATCAGATTAAGAAAAGACTTCAAAGTTTTAATTTGGAAAAATTAATTACTCTGTTTCATTTGTTTCCTTTAGCAATTTTGTGCATTAATGTAGTATTTACTGATTTTTT